AACGGAAAAAAAAAATCCGTAGACAATTCCGTGTGTAAATAATGGCCTAACAATTAGTATGGAAAACGTCAGTCAGCATTTGACTTCATGATACGTTGTATTTGCTGACAAGGTCATTATATCGACCATAAAACTTGGGAAACGATGACTTCAAACGACACTGTTGATATTCTTGTTTCATCAACGTGTTTGTCAATAGCTTGCCTCGTTTTAAAAAAAAAATCATCAATAGAGCTTTCTCTTGCGTATCGAATCAACTGCGAGACAAAACTAAAACCGCATATGCAGGTGATAAGGGTTTATTGCTATATAAGAAAGGGAAGTTGACGATTGAAAAATTGAAGTCATCACGTTTATCATAAAGCTTTGTTGTTAGATTGCCATTAAAGTCTTTTTCTAGTAAAATATCCAAATATGAATCAGATGTGTCAGACTCTGTGGTGTGTTTCATTCCAAGCTCACTGGGATATGTTGAGTCGACATATGAATGGAAGTAAATTTTGTTAATTGATAAAACGTCGTCGAAATATCTAAATGTCGAAGACCAAAGCAAGTGTTTTCTTCTTCTCATGTAGAAGTTTTTGAATAATTTCTGCTTCATATGAATACAAAAATAGGACTGCTAATCTTTTTAATTTCAACTGCAGAGAACTTGTGTGTACAATCAGAATGTTTTTAACAAAATAATTTTGCAAATGACCAATGACAAGGTAAGTATATTTACGAGTTCAATTTTTATTGAAAAACAGCCGTCTATAGCTATGATGTCAAAACACCTGGACTTTAATTTTTTTGTAGGGAATAGTTGTATAAAGTGTTGAAAAGTCGTAGGTTTTAATGTTATTGAGTTTGGTAAAATTTGTAATTTCAAATTTTCTAAAAATTCCTTTCAGTTTTTAAGTATCCACATCTGATTTACACAACTTCTCGAATATACTGTTGTACAGTACTTCTGAAGTTTCTCCTTCACTGCTGTAAATAATTTAGTGAGGAGTAAAGAAAGATGCTGGGTAGAACATTTACTCGAACTCGCTATGTATCATTGTTTGTAATGGTGATATCTTATTGCTTAAATTTACATCTGTGATTGATTTTTTAACAAATATTTGGGTACTATAGTTCTAAATCTATAAAAGGATTTATTTTTGTTTTCAAACCTCAACCGTATAAAATAAATGTGTTGAACACGTCGACCAATATTTATGACGTCACTATGATATTACATCGATCGTTTTTGACTTAACGTAGGTCGCGGGTTTGCAGGCCATTTAAAAGTGTCCGAAAACATACCATGAAAATTAGTTATATGAATCCTATACCTTCGTTTTACATTCTCTGAAAATTTTGTAAAATTCGTCTGCACCGTTTTTGTGTAATTAAATATCAAACATGCATTTGTTGTCGTAACATTTTTGACGGTATTCTATTGAATTATATAAGAAAAACGTCGTTTTCGGCTCTTTTTGAGGCAAGATTTTGTTTAAAAATATGTCAATAACTTTTAAATGGTGCAGACGAAATTGTTTCCCCTTTGGTATTTTAACAAAGAATTGATTTGAAATAAATCAAAGTGATAAAATTAATATGTCTTCGGGTTAGTTTTCGCGTTATTTAATGTGGATAATTGCTTTTATATCGCAAAATGTAACATTTTTAAGAACGTCATAAAATATCGCGACGTCATGCTTGACGTCGTGAATATCTATCCGGTATTCATTGCAGAAAAATAAGATAAAATAATTTTTATAAAAAAGAAATTTACGTCTATCTGCTTTCAAGTGACCCGTGAATCGTATCATAATTCAATATCAATGGAATGATTATTAGACATGTTTCTCTTCAGATTTGGTTTTTTGTACGTCTTATATTAGTGAAAACTCTCGCAAGGGACGTAAAACAACAGTAGATAAGACGTATCCTTACATTTGGCTGTGTATTTTTCTTTTCCAGCGTGCTGGCAGAAAACGGTATCCTCTAATCTAACTAATTCAAGTATTTAAAATATTTTTATTTAGACCAGCAAGGCCTTCAAATCTACGAATTTCTGCCAAATATCGTCGCGGCTAAGTACAATATATTTTCAGTATATATCTAAATAAAATATTTATTTTACATACCACATTTTCAGAGGGGTAAATGGGACAAGAATTTAAAATTAATTTTATCTGACGTAATCAACAGCCAGTTTTTTTTAAGAACTTTAATTCTACTAGTTTGACATGGAAATCAGAGTAGTGAATAAAATCTGTAGGTAACAGCATTGCAAGCTGTTGCTTAGGGGATGAACATTTCATTCAGGGATGGGGAGTGGGGTGGGCTGGGGTGGGGGGTTGCAGATTTTGGAAATAAATAATCTGTCATCGAAAATGTTGAAAATAAATAATCTGTCCTCGACTTGGCAAGAAAAGAAATCTGTCCATGACTAGTTCTAGCACCCCCCCCCCCCGAATGGGAGTTTTCAACTTTGATGTTTTTCTTTCTTTCTTTCTTCTTTTTGCTTGACAAACATTTTTCAGTGAAGAAAAAATAAATAATCTGTCCTTGTTTTTTTTTTTCTTTTTGGAAATAAATAATCTGCCCTTCACCGACATGAAAATAAACAATCTGACTAAAATTTACCATCCCTCTCTCCCTCAGAATCAAATAGTTGTACCTATAACAGGAGGTCAGTGTCGCTAAAAAAATTGTTTATATGTTTCATCGTGCCTTAGCAGTATTTGATTTGTGATAAATTTGTAGATCTATATAATTTAAAAATGTCCTTTTTAAAGGTGCTTGGACACAGATTTGAAGTTAATATTTTCTGTATAATGTCATGACTTATATGTTGCTATAGCATTTCATACTAAAATATAATAAAAATCTTATTTCATCTCGAAGTTATTGAAACTTCAAATTTCTGGACGCGTTTGATTGACACATCCTTGCACTTGCACAAATTTTAATTTTTTTCTTAATACTTAAGAAAAGTGGCGATTTTGTTGTGTATTTATGAAAAAGTATTAAAACTATAATCCAGAAAATTCAGAGTAGAAATGTTCGAAAGCAAAACCCACTCACAGTATTGTCAGTCCGTGCTCAGTGGTGTGTGCAGACCTTAACAATTGAACACACCCGGTGAATCGTAAACATTAACAATAACAGAGCTCGTGCCCTGTATACTAAAACAGTTTACGTTTCACGGGTGTATTCAATTTGTTAAACTCTGTACACAACACTGAGCACGGGCTGACGATATTAGTGAGGGGGTTTGCTTTCGTACATTTCTACTCTGAATTTTCTGGATTATAGATGTAATGTTTTTTATTAATACACAACAAAATCGTTTCTTTTCTTAAATATTAAGGATAAAGATAAAATTTGTGAAAGTGCAAGAATGTGTTCATCAAACGCGTCCAGGAATTCGTAGTTCCAATAATTTCCAGATAAAATAAGTTTTTAATTATATTTTCGTGTGAAATGCTATTGCAATATATAAGTCGTGATATTATACAGAAATTTTGAGAAAATATTAACTTCAAATCTGTGTTTAAGCACCTTTAAAAATAAAATTTAATCTTTTGATGTAACAGATGTATTTGCAATTTTTTTTAATAATGGCTTCTTTATTAATAAAAAAAAAAACCTGTTAATTCAAATACGATCAAAGGAAAAAAAATGTCAGTTGAACCTTGTGTCCATATCGTTTAGCGATACCAAGTGAAAACAAATCAATCGCAATTTCTCGGGCCTTTCCGACAAGCCGAAAAACAACCACTTGTTTTTCCAAGCTTGCAGGAAAGGCCCGAGAAGATGCGATTGATAACAAATAATTAAACGTTTTTTTTAATACTTCCAGTGTCGATCATTCGAATCGTAATAAGCCTTCTTCACTAAATTACCAATTCCAACAAAAGTTATATCTTAGTATTGTATCGACTTTACAAATCGTTAAAAGCCTTCATTATTTGTGATAAGTCGTTGCTTAAATAATATAACACTAAACTACCAATTCCAAGAAAAGTTATAGCTAAATAATGATATACTGAAGAATTTAATAATTTAACAAAAATCATCGCAGATTTCTTTTTCATTGTGACGTCATAATCAAATGTGCACAAGAAAGTCGCCCAAATCATATAAATTGCGTACCCAGTTTTTAACGACGTCAGCAAACCCGCGACCTACGTTAAGGTCAAGATCTAGTAAATGAGTTTAGACTTTCTTCTTGGTGCTAGATTCATTATGACGTCATAATTGATTTAAACTTAATTTTTCCCGTACTTTACGGCTTCAATAGAATTATGTAGAATCTAAAGCACTTTCATGGAATTCAATTTGAAATCATGTCATATGTAACCCCGACCCTTATTCAGTTTAATATCATTTTAAAGTAGAGATCAAGAAGATATGAAAAACCGTTTTCTGAGAGACTGTAGGCAATATTGATACATTTCCTTTGTCTGAGATGGAAAAAACCTCCCATATTTATACCAGACTTTCTTCATTTTTCATTGAAAATGGGCAGTTTATAATACGTTTTTCCGATGAGTTTACCCCAAAATTATGTCCGGGTACACCTTATTTTACCAAGCTATATTCGTAAAGGATCATTCAAAGAATGTGTATCTCAAATTTGAGAAATCTGTGGGCACCTGTCATTCACTAGATCTCTTGACCTTAACAATGAATGAATTCCATATCAAATTTGAGAAATCTGTGGGAACCTGTCATTCACGAGATCCGGACCTTAACAATGAATTTATGGTCAGGAGACACAGGTTTAAATATGCCTTGCTCAAGTGTTATATAAAGGAAAACATTTTTCAAATGTAATCATAGTTAAAATAAATATCAAAAAATGCAATGACAAACGAAAAAATAAATCAAAAATTATACAGGCTAGCACTATTCCTAAACAATTAATTCTAAGATTTCTATATTTCATATAAAATTATTTACACTTATAATTTATGTTTTAAGATTTTGAAATATACATGTATATTGTGTTTATTAGTTGATGACCAATTGCAAGAATTGTGGATCCGTCGTGTTTTTGGGAGGGTAACATTTGTTATCTCCCTTAGCATAATGATCCTTGGATTAATCATACAGTATCAGGCACGTCACCAAACCGGTGACGTCATATGTAAGAATTCTTATGAGCTGTTTATTATCTTTTTTATTCAGTATTATGAAATTATTATTCATTATTATTATAATTTTGATTTTTTCAAATTTTATTTTTAAAAGATTTTATTTCTTTTTATATTTTTATTTATGGCATTGAGTATTAATTGTGGATATATGAAGTATTGATTCAGCTAAACGTTTTTTCCTAGGATCAGTAACTCATGAATAAAAGTTGTCAATGATCTTTTCTATCTCAGGTTCTCATTTATATTAAAGCATTCATTCTGATTTTCTTATTTTTAAAATAAAATGATTAAATCCTTGAATTTACTTCTTGACTAGGCACGAAAGTTTTGTTGATCCTATGCTTACAAAATACCTGTTACGATGAAGAAAAGATATCCTAAAACAGTATTTGACTATATACGTATACACTCATTTGAATGCTTATATTTAGACCTTCCTTCCACCTACACCTTTGAAGAACACGAAATATACTCTTCCAGAACCAGGATTTTCGGAATTTCTATAATATTATCGACATGTTTTAAAAAGTCGTGAGAACGATGCACAGTTGAGTGACTTAGAATGACCACTGAAAATTTTTACCACTGAAGAAATAAGAATAATCTTACTAACCAAATACTTGATAACTAATAATTCATGATCACAAACTTGACAAAAACTTTCGTACGTACGAGAAGAGGGAGACAGAGTGACGCACCGCGTGGCTAGAATTTAATTTTAGATTTTAATATCTTATTGGTCAATCTCTGCCTCTCCCAAGACATGAAAAAACTCCTAATTTAAGATTATCTTTATACAAGCATCAAAATGCAATATTTCACGCTTTTACATTTAAGGAGGATATTTATAACTTTCTAAAAATGTTATGCTACTTATGCGGGATTTTTAATTGCTTTCTTAACTTGCGGTCTCAAGGCTGACAGTTTTAATGGCTAACGCCATGCTATTGATAACAATTTTTAAATTGCCATATATTTCTATACTGAGTACTGCTGATACATCACAAAACACAAAAAACTATATGTAATTGAATGGCTGGTAATTCTATACCTAGAGCTTGCGCTTTGTCCTTAATCTTCATACCAGGATGACACTCCTCTTTGTTCATTGTCCAAAAGTTAAGTACAATATATATCAATCTGATGTAGCAAGCGAGTCCATTGTTTTACATTGCTCCTTTTCCACAGTTTTAATGCTGCGCAGCAAATAAAGAACTATAGCCAAGTACGTAGTTATGTTTAATTCACTTCTCAACTCAACTTTATTTTGATGATACATGTATAATTGAAAGTGAATTAATGTTTCTTCCATTTCAGGTCCAGAACTATATCTTGATGAGTCTACTGCGCATGCCGATCTGGAGATCTCCGAAATGGGTACAGTGGTTTCCAACACAAAACGCTACGTTAGGAGACATCGGTTTCATAGATACCATGGTGTAGCTGGCATGATTTCATTGGGTAACTTGGAAGACTTCGAATTTCGTGTGGGAATATTTTATGAAATACAAAAAAGGATAACAAAACACATCCCGCTTTTCGAAATCGCTTTTGCTGAAAAAAAGTTTATTGAAAATGACGAACTAAATTGGCCGATTAAAAAATCTCTGAGCATAAAGGGAAAGAAATGTGGAGAGAAAAGTATTTGTTTAACAGTGGGGAAACACGGTGTGATTTACAAGGAAATTGAAATTTCGAAGTCATACAGCGACTCTTTCTATATAGGAGTGATAACCATAATTAAAAGAAATGAAGATGTACATATTTATTTTTATGACAGGACACAGCAATGTAATTTATTATTTAAACTCTCGCAGATAAATATTTTCAACAAAAATTTGAGATCTTTTTACGGAGTGATGGAAAATTCGCGTGATGCCAAGATAGTTCTTTCTATAATTAGAGATGCTAAAAATGTGGAGCGATTCGACGAGATGACCAGTCATAAAGACGTCTTTAATGCTGGCGACGGGTATGCAATTTCAAACTATAATGCTGGAACCAATTTTAAAAGAGCTGGTAGCTTAAAACAGGCTTATCGCGGCGTTCTTGCTGATGTCGCTTTCAAACAGAATGAAAATGAATCTCTTCTAATAAAATCAGAATACTTTGAAGTTAATTTTCTTTTCGATGTTAATTTGCGAGAATATGATTCTCAAGACTCGGTGTTTGAATTCGGATTCACTCCAAAACACCTAATTAAGAAACACTCAAAACTAAAATATCATTCGGATGCTGTTCTGATATCAATATCTCGATGCACAAAAAGACTAAGACTTTGCATATCATACTGGCAAAATGGGACCCAACATAAAATTTACCATCCCATTGGCAGATACGAACCTAAATACGAAGATTATAATATAACATTTGGGCTGAAAATCGATGCAACGGAGAATGAAGGAAGTGTTTATTATATTGATTCTAGCAACAAGAATATACTACATACATTTCCAAATGTCTCGTTTGCACGCCCTCTGTATCCAGTGATTGGAATGACAGACAAATCTTTCGTCAAGGCCCGTCTTCTGACAAAATCACTTGTTACCAGGATGTATAGTGTTTTTGGATTCTTCATGTATCCACCTATATGTGATTCTTGAAATATAATGCTGCTCTGTTTCGTATTTAGGAAGTATTTAAGAAGTAAATTTTCAATGTAAATGAATTCCCTCGACGTATTTTCAAAGAAATATACCGTTGTTTGATTTGATAAAATATTCAAGCAATAGCAGATTTCTCGCAACTCTGGTACAACAACTATTTCTTTCAGTGGATCAGAAAATCATTGTTGTCAGAGAGAGAGAGAGAGAGAGAGAGAGAGAGAGAGAGAGAGAGAGAGTTATTATATTTAATGCTGTAATTATCTGTAACTTCTAGTAATTTTTCACATAAAACGATTCAAATATAGGACGGAAGAAGTAAAATGTATAAAAAAGACTTTTTTTTAAATATATAAATGGTAGTAATAATTTTCAAGGTTTTAGTTTACAAAACACATAAAATTTCATGTGCTTAAAAATATTTTCCTCTCAATTGATTTTTTTTTTCAAGTATCAGTTTATTATAAAGATTCATTTTATAAATGACTGCAAATTAAAATTTTTAAAAGACAATTTTTTTCCTTATCATGCAGTTTGTCATATAGTAGGAGTATTTTCCCTCGTGTTATTGCAAAAACCATAAGGAAATCTTAAAAATTAAGCTTCAAAATACATAATAAAAAACATTCTATTTGTACATGAATGCCTTAAATATCAAATTCTACTAGTTTTTAATTTAGAGATATATTTCTTTTCTCTAAAGAGATATTTAGCGTTGGTATAGCGCTTGTTCCATGGTAGCGTCGGTATAGCGCTTGTTTTGGAACAGTTTTGGAAACAAAAAAATGATAAGTACTGATCTGGCAATTCATCAATGATGTTTGATTCTAATATAAGAAAATACATCACATAATAGTGCCTGTATATGTCATGATGTGTGTAAGAAAAAAAGAAATCTTATGCAAAACTTCCACGGTATATTTTCGAATCTATTCAGTTCTATTTTCATCATATGTGAGCATTTTATGATAACGTTCATATTGGTGACGTCAACATTTTGCAATTATTACAATTTTTGGTGGAAGAAAATTTACATTGCTTCACTTGTCTACGTAACAAACATTTAATACATAATGTCCAATAATACTAGTATATAGAATTCATTTGCAATCAAAAATCATAAAATAATATGCTGATAGTTTTATACATTGAAGTACATGTATAATGTCCAAAAATGAAATAGAATTACAAAAAAAAAAAAAAAAAAAAAAAAAAAAGTTTTTTTGGATAGGAGATAACTAGTATGCTACAACATTACCATTTAATAATGAAAGAAATTCTTCATATTTTACAAATAACATCTGCGGAACAGCAACATGAACCATACTCTCTTTTACTATAAGTTTTACAAAATTTCACATAATCATCCTGTCGATCGATTAATGTTTATTCACTTATATACATGTAAATGGCATTATTTGATTAGTGTAACGCTTTTCTAGCTTAAAAGACGATCTTTAGAGGAGTGCATCTGCATATGTTTTTTCTTAATATGTCCTTTTCTGCAATCACATAATATGTGTATGTTAGCCAATTATAGACCAAACAATGCCTGTTTGTCTGGCCACTCTTTCTGATAAGAAAAAGTCATCACAAAGATGTATTTGAAAGTCCGCTTTACATTCTATATGCGTCAGGTTGGATATGTTGGAAAATTTGCAAAAGAGACTTTTCGTTTCATTCCGGGAATGATGCCATTAGATTCCTTGAGTTCTAATTCTCTGTTGTTCATTTGGTTATCGTCACTGATATTTACGCAGTTATCTGAAACTACACAATTTTCAGCCACGTCACACTCAGCCTGAGATGACATTGTCTGGTTGGTTGAAATCGTCATTCGTCTCGTGATCCGGAAGTATCTGTCGTTCAATCGACGTCTCCATGACTTCTTAAGATTTGAAATTACCTTTTCAATTAAAAAAAATCCATAATTTCATCTGTAGAAGTTCTTGGAAATTATATTTTTTTGTTTAAGCTGCGTATAACATATTTATACATTTCACCGAACATCACACTAGTTTTTGAATGCATGAAATGTTTATAACTTAAAGAAAACAAAAAGCAAGATTTTTACCTCTCCGTTTATATAGCAGAATAATATGGCTACAAAAACTCCCTGAAATAAAGCAGATTTTAATGAGAAAAAGTCTATGTAAGACTTCATTCTATTCTATTGAATTTAACATTTGGACTCAAATGTAGATATTGATTATAATGTTCACAAAAAATCTACAAATACGAGAGTTACCCCAAAATTCCGTAGACAATTGTAGTTTTGAAGGAGCATATTGTCATGAATTCATAATATGACGTCATAATGTGCACAGCTTATAGCATGTCGTGGGTACTTATAATATACCAGACAATAGGTTTTAACCTTCTCCATAAAAGGTAAAGCCCTTTGCATTTTAATTATTTTATCTGCATGCACGTAAAAAACGCCTTCTCCTAGCCTTAACTCTCTTGAGTAAACCAGCTATGACTAATAAATCTACAGACAAACATTGAGTAATTACACAGATTTACCCTATTTAAATTGTTAGAAGGCGGCGCAGTACCCGAAATTTGCAATTAATAATCGATATACTGTATAATATTTTAAAAAAAAATCTATGGAAAAGAAGTTACTCCTCAGAATTTCGGAAATAGTTTCTTTTTCAATTTTGTATTGTCAAGTAAGTTTCCTCATGCTTTATCATGAATTTTTAGCGTTTTATATCCAGCAGTTTGAAATCTAACTTGTTTAATTTTTCTATGTGGAAATTTTTAATAGCCATACATTTTACAATATTATATTTCAATTTAATATGACTTAATAGCCCTCCAAAATATGGAATTTTACCTTGCATTAAACATGTAAAAATATATTGTTGTGTATATAATATAAAATTGTTGACTTTGTTGCTATGTCATTTGTAGTTCACCTAAAATGATATTTTCAAACATTAAAACCAATTCTTTTATTCATTGTTTTGTAAATATGTAAACTGAGGTTGGTCCACAAAGATAAAACGTTTTCACTATGCTATACTATTCGTGTACTATAGATCTTTTTCAACCATTTTGCCATTATTATTATCATCTTAAGAATGAGTCTGTATGTAAACTAGTAAGTGTCTAAGAATGAAAGTGACTATAATGTATAAAAAAAAAAAAAAGAGCTCGTCAATTGTCTTATTTTTATACATTTTATGATATTGGGCAACGTAATTAAAAAAAAAAAAAAAAAAAAAAAAAAAAAAAAAAAAAAAAAACAGAGAAAAAGCTTTAAAGTTTGAATTTCCAACTTTAGAATAACTACATGTAAACCATAGTTCTAATCAAAGAATTCAACATGACAATACTAAATTGTATTTATTAATTAACCGTGTTTGCTTTAACCCTGGGTTTAAATTTTCATTCGAATAAATAATTTCAACATGTTATTTTCTTTTTACCTGTGAGTGATCAACAACTATGGTAAATCTCTCGTATTCTATACCGCCCTCCTTGCTAATCGGAACACGGTATAATGTTACAAATAGCTGAATCCCGAACAATGGGATTAAAACAAAGGTTGCCTTCACGGCTCGCCTGTAAAAGAGACGGAAATAAATTGAAGGAATCAATAAAAATATAGCCTTAAATCATCGTCAGCTGGATTGATTTCATGGTTCTTGAAGAGTAGCTATGTGAACAATATTTTATAATACAAGAAATATATCTGATACGAAAATTGTAAAATAAAAATACCTAGTATTCAAAATTATGAAATGATTTAGTAGTCTCATCAAAATCAGCTGTTCTGATTCATTATCGGTCACGATTCAGTACAACTGATTTTAATCAGATTCAGTAATAACACAGCGATATAACATAGTGTTAGATTTTAATATAAAAGGTGATAATGGTAACATAGTAAATGTTCTGCTCTTGAAATTAACATCTTGATTAATAGCTCTGCCAGAATATCAATCTGACTGCCATGGGACGCTGCAGCTTTTTCTAATACGACAATAAAGCTTGGAAAAGCATTTGTCGTATAACGCCCCTACTCTTTAATAACCAACCAGACATTGTTATAATTCATAGAACACACACACACAAATTTATTGCAAATATCTTAATTGGTCATGTTATTGCTATCTGCCTAATCATTTACTTTACAAGCACTCCAAATTGAGTCAGCCATAACCAAGGATCCAGATTTAGTATGAACGTCATTATTTGATGACTGATAAAAGATGATAACCGATGACTGATAGAAGGTGATACATTCAAAGATTAACGGTTTAATAATTTGTCTCCAAATGAAAGTTTTGTAGAGAGATCATTTGTGAAAACGGTATAGTTAAAGAGAAGCAATAAATAATGAAATAAGATTTTTTTAAATTAATTATCAAACTGATTAAGTTTTCTAGCAACTGTACAAATTGTTTAAATGTAAATTATCATTCCGTTTCATTTGATATAATCTCAACATCAACATTTATGTAGATATATTTCTCACCTGAAGTTTCCGGGTTCATTAGGGTGAGATTGCATCTGTGTGAGTAAAATTCGAAGGATGTTTCCAAGGATAAGTAAATTTGCCTGTAATTGTTTCAGTAACAGTTTTGCAAGACGAACGACATTATACACATATAAAGATAATTATCAAAGGAAAGATTTCTTTTATCAAAAAATAATGCCATCAGTAGAAGGCTATATAAATGGCAATCAAACAGGTTTATTAAATTGCACATTTTTTGCAAGCTTTGAGACTGATAATTGTGAAGATATGAATAATAAAAGTAGACTTACCACAAGGCACATTAAATTCGGGGCATCAAATATCCATTCCAAATTTTTGTACGAATATGCCCAGCAACTAAAATTCATACATTAAAGCTATATTGAGTATTTTCTACTGACATAGACATGAAATTGCTTTTGAATATATTTTGTTTTACTACTGATAAACCAAACTGATTTTGCACTTGGTGCACTGAAAGTGCTTATTTCATTCGCATTCTTTTAAAAATATTTTTTTTTGAAAATGAGGTTTATGACCTTCATATAGTTAAATAAGATTTTCAAGGACTGGAATAAATGATATCTAGGTAAAAGAAATTGAAACATTTGTGTAAAAAAGTTCTTCACTACACTTGCCTTTCATCATTATATATTTTCCTTAGAAGCGCATAAACTCCAGAGAAAATGAGAGGAACGCCCCATCCTATGACATATATCATCGTGAGGGATTGTGGAGGAGAGAAGGCATTATACATGAGACGTTGGAGGAAAATCCCCTCACACAGCATCCAGGTAAAGCTACAACCCTTAAAATATATCTTCAGGAAGGACAGCAGTTTGCACCAAAACTTAAAAAAAAAATATCAAAAATTTTCCACAATTACTGTCTGATAATTATTTTCAGCATGCACTGTGTTGCATGAAATAAAAATTTGTGCATGCAAGTTACATACCAAACTTTTAATTATTTAGTGTATGAGTTTGCACGCATGTGTCGGAGAGTATTAGCAACTAGTAAGTATGTAAACCAAATACTAGTATTTTTCCAGTTGAAATAATTATTGAGTTTCTGTTTTAAACGCCGGGGTATAATCAGCATCTACAAATTTTTATTAAGACTGAATTTCGCATGAAAAAGAATTAATATTAACATTGCATGAATTCGAAAAGTTATGTAGTAATATTAAAGACCTTTTTCCTTAATGAAAATTATCATACCATACGTAAATCGATGTCAATTTGAATATGACCATGTTGTACTGGCTCCGCGGGGCTATAAAACTTAGATAAGCTTACTTTTGATCTCAGTCTCACTTTCTACTATTAATTCCTTCGGCAAAATTGTCTTACCTAGTTGAAAATCAAGGGATAATCAGGACACATTGAGAAAACAAAACAATTAAGTAGGGTTTCTACAAAAAATACGTTTCCTATATGTTAAAAACGGCCTGTCATGCGTTTACACAATTACACCTATCGGAGTTTCACGTGCTAAAAAAAAGCTGATTTGTACAAACTTGTACAAACAAGTCGTAAGATCTCTTGAATTCAATTATCAATACATGTACATCGATTAATCAATTAATTCTTTCTCGGTTTAATTCGTGTAAAAGGTTATTTAACTTAGAAACCAAATAGCACATTCAGATTAAGAACGATAGATTAACATTTAGCGGACAGAAAAGATTATCAGTATTAAAGTATCCAATTTTAGATGCATTTCGCTTATTTTAACTTGAAATATTGGGCTTGTGACTTTTGCATGCAGAATTGAAATAAATAGTAGAAGACTGGAAAAAATAATGAGCACTTTAGAGCCTTAGGTTTCTACTAATGGAAACATCCCTGGGAAATCAGGGCAAATTAGTTCAGTCGTATTTTATACAAACAAGTACGTTATGAAACAATATGTCACAATAATTTGTCTTTTATCCAAAGATATTTCTTAAGCGGATTTTTCTAAGAACTTTTTCATTTTCTTTCATGGTTGCATGTATGTCGTTCCCACATAGGATTAAATGAGCATATAAATATACGGTGTTAGGCAACGCAGACAAAAAATTAAAACGTGTACATGTATGCTGTAAACTGAAATACTAGTACAGCATACAACTAATTAACTTTAATTTATACCAGCATATATTTTACCGCAATTGCAGACTCGAAAGCATTATATTAAGAAAAGGAAGAAGAAAAAAAATCGTGTTGGTGTGTGATGATCATTGGTGTATGTACGACTGTATTTCTGAAGACGAATAGTAAGCATATGGACGAATACTTAACTGAGGGAAATAGTTATCATGAACCTCCCCCATATACAAATGTTTACAAATGTGTCTTACATTAACCGTATAATGTATAAAGGTACACTGACTGGCCATTGTTGTAGTGTTCATTATTATTATTATATGTAGTTATTATGTTAGAAAAACAAAATTTATACGTACTCCGTTCGCCATCAACGCTGTTTGGAATACTTTAGAACTCTTAACCTTGTCATACGTAATCAAGATATCCCACAATCCCGAGACAACTTCCTGTATAATCAGTGCCATGAAAAAGTTCATGTGAACTCTCACTCTGTTTTGCCTTGAAAGCGCTCTAAATACAACATACATGTATAAGAAAACATGAAGCAAAAAATTTCAACAAAAAATCATTATACTTTTACCATTTTTTGAATGAAGCGAACTTTTATATAATACAGAATTTAAGTAAATCATGATTTTATAAAATAGAATTTAATATATTAGAAATAAGAAATATTTTGACATGAAGTTTACAACAATTGAATATTTAAAGATTCAATGACCCTCCTAAAACGAATTGGACTATCTTTCAAATTGTTTTTTCTTGCATCGATTTATCAAACATCCAATGTAATCAACTGTTATTTCTATATTGGTGCATCTATTTGTGAAAGGCAGCATTTTATAATGACCGTAGACTAATCACATGTGTTTTATCGATCGCGATTCCCTCGGGACTCAGGATTTCCCACACAATTACAATATTTTTGCGCTGGAAGTTAAGAGGTGTTGATTTTAGATTGTTATCCGTGTTGTTTTTGTGCATGATTGTAAAACTGTCGCGTTCAATTTTAATTATTGAATGACAGTATGCCCGGAGTTAATTTTTTTTCTAGTTATCAAAGACTAAAATGAATTTCGAGAAAGCTATACACTCCTAAACTATTGAGTCTAATCATATAGTGTATGCATACCAATGTTAGTTTCCCGTATCATCTTTGCTTATAATTTGAGTAGAATATTTTAAGATACGTTTTGATATGTTTTTAAACATGAAGATAAGTGTAAAAAGTTGTGAAAGCTGGGCAAGTTCATTTCGTCATACATGTTTTGTTCTTTATTTATATGTAAAAACAAGATGAATTCTAAACTGAACAAGAACTGTATTCATGTCTGTCCTGTATATTTTGAAGAAAGTATTTAGATAAATTCTATATGTAATAGTTAAGTTTAAGAAAGGTTGTAATATTGATTTTATTGAAAGATTAAAAAATAACCTGTATCGTATGAATATACAAACAGCTGGCACAAGGAATAGTACACTGGCGATACTGCAGCCTAAACCCAGGAACAAACTGGTCTCAATTCCCTAGACAGAATACAGGTAACTAAATATTACTAAACTCATTTCGACGAATGTCTTCTATAAGTGAGTCAAAGTCTCAAAATAAAACCAATCAATACTGCGATAGTGCAACATCTACGTGAATTTGGTCTTGGCAGGTTTTCTTATTACTTGGAATGGACCTGCTCAAAAACTCTAAATACTCTTATCCCTCCACATTCTTTCGAATAAAATTCTCTATTTTACTGAAACTTATTAGTATCTAATATATTTGACTGATCGTATTAAATTTTCTTTCACACTTAATGTAAATAAAAAATTTATTTCAAAAAAAAAAAAAAACAAAAAACAAAAAAAACAAGAATCTTCAATACACATTAAACTTACTCTCATTTTATAGATATTTTGTACTTCTTTCAGAAGAAAAAGATCTAGAGAGTCTACAAATTTTAGCTGTGCTTGAGAAAAAAAAATATATATACAAAGTTATAAACTCTTTTAGTTATAATATTCGTCAAAATTCTTATGATCTAATTAGTAAAATCACCTGTTTGTCAACACAGTGACTATAGTCTGTCCTTTTTACCCATTCACCTTTAGATGTACATGTTTTTACCGCACTTCCTACAAAAAAAATTGAAAAATCACATTATTTTTTTGATTCCCATTTCGAGAGGTGATTTCTATACATCATTATGTGATCTGTAGGGAAGTTGATGAAGTTCTAAAAGACTTTTATATATACATATATACATTTTGAATGAAAGATATTAACTGAAATAATCAAGAGTCAAAATGATTCTCTTACTTGCTTTGACATTTCTCAATAGATGGTTTTCTTATGACGTATTTTGCCTTGGAGTTATTCCCCTTGGTCGCCATCTTGTAGGTCAAAGTAGTGAACTTTCCTTTTTGAGCAACCAATTTTAAACATGCATGCCAGAAATATATGGTAAAAAATATTTACAATATTGAAATTATGAATTAAAAGAAGATTAAACAAACGTATATTCATAAGAAAAACAGTGTTATCTTCACCTCAGTGCCCAGTATAACAAAGTGAACTTAAATAATGAAGGGATCTGGGGATGTTGACCTACAATATGGCGGCCATGGGAAATAACTCTTGCTTAAATCGCCTCGATGGAAAACCATCTATACTGTACGAGTCATGAAATAATATTTCTCTATTGCCAACTGTACATTAAATTTTTAATCTTAGAAAAGATGACCATGATCTGATGAAAAATACTAAAATGTGTCCATTTAATCAAGAACATTATTGTTGCAAAACTATTTTTTGTTAATGGACACTGGTGTTTTTTGCGTTTTCCTATTTTTTTATGACACATCTTATAACTGGAAACGCAGTATCACCCATTTATTTTTCTAGCTCGTGATGTGGTTATCATCATTGTGACCATTCGTTAACAATCACAATCCGATATGTGTTATTAAAGAAAATCAATGTTCGGGCTTGATTGTCTCAGCAATTCACTTACGAACCTTCTAAACAAGTAAGGAAAATGATTTTTGGACATTAGTATAAAGGTGTACATAACTGAGCTTATCTATTTCATTTTCAACATAGAGTACGAGGAGTTTACTTTACTTCCCAGGAAAAACTCAGGCCCGTAGGAAGCAATTTCAGTTGGGGGGGGGGGGGGCACAGCCATACATTTCCAGTTGAGGGGGCACTCTCAGCTACCAAAAATTTCTTGACAAGCAAAAAAAAAAAAAAAAAAAAAGGTCGTCAGATGTTTTTATTGAGGGGGCACAAGCATATAGTATCTATGTTTTCTATGGTAATTTATATATCGGCAAAATTTTTTTTTGGGGGGGGGGGGGGGCAGCCCCCCCCCTCCCCCCCCCCCCGGTTCCTACGGCCATGAAACTTACAAAAACAAAGAAGTTTATGTAGAGTGGTAAAAATGAAATTCGTGCTATTAAAGTCGATGAATTTATCTTGGCCTCTTAAAGGTGCTTGGACACAGATTTGAAGTTCATATTTTCTCAGATTTTCTGTATAATTTCATGACTTATATGTTGCTATAGCATTTCATACTAAAATATAATTAAAATCTTATTTCATCTCGAAGTTATTGAAACTTCAAATTTCTGGACGCGTTTGATTGACACATCCTTGCACTTTCACAATTTTTAATTTTATTCTTAATGCTTAAGAAAAGTGGCAGTTTTGTTGTGTATAAATGATAAGTATTAAAACTATAATCCAGAAAATTCAGAGTAGAAATGTTCGAAAGCAAAACCCACTCACAGTATTGTCAGTCCGTGCTCAGTGGTGTGTGCAGACTTTAACAATTGAACTCACCCGGTGAATCGTAAACATTAACAATAACAGAGCTCGTGCCTTGTTTACAGAAACAGTTTACGTTTCACGGGTGTATTCAATTTGTTAAACTCTGTACACAACACTGAGCACGGGCTGACGATATTAGTGAGGGGGTTTGCTTTCGCACATTTCTACTCTGAATTTTCTGGATTATAGATGTAATGTTTTTCATTATTACAAAACAAAATCGCTTCTTTTCTTAAATATTAAGGATAAAAATAAAATTTGTGAAAGTGCAAGGATGTGTTAATCAAACGCGTCCAGGAATTCGTAGTTCCAATAATTTCCAGATAAAATAAGTTTTTAATTATATTTTCGTGTGAAATGCTATTGCAATATATAAGTCGTGATATTATACAGAAATTTTGAGAAAATATTAACTTCAAATCTGTGTCTAAGCACCTTTAAAATGTTAAGAATGCTTGAATTAAATACTACTTGAAATAACAAATTGTATTTATTTTTTCATAGATGTAAGATAAGATTGCTCTTTTTTCATAAAAATGCAACAGAATCGAAGCAGTTTCTTTAAGGTTTATAATTGTATTCTATATTTTGTATTTAAAACACTTGAATGAAAGTCTCAATATACAAAGAAAGTGTTTCATATTACATAATAGATTACTAAGCAAAGGTTATCACCGCAGAAGAGTCAATATCTAGACGTAAATGATATCTTTAGACCTCTTTCAGACGACACATTTTGACATTGCAATTTTACATCGATGAGAGTTTTATTGCCCTAGGGCAATTACTCTTGAGTTAAAGGTGACAAGATGTACATTAATTGTACAAATATAGCAATATAAGGAACAAAGATGAAGCAATAAATGGTAATCAAGGCTGGATATTAATGGTTCTGAATGATGTGGGTCTCTGGTTCAACGTATCTGAAGGATTCAAATTGTTTTCTCTGGTGAGAATGAAAAAAAGTACTGGAAAGAATACACATCGTCAAAGAACCTACACTGGAAAACATATGTAAAAAAGTTTTTTTTCACATTAAAGTTCGAATAATAAACCTTGAAGTACAGAAACTAGGGAGTTCGTCAAAGTACTGGAATTGTTGTGGCTTTGGCGTCGGCCGGTTAGAGTAATTGAAATTTAATGTTCCTCGAGCCAGATATTTCGTCCTCGGGGACAAAATCATCTCTTTCGGAATTGCACACATATTCTTGATGGTTCTAGAAAATAACTACATTATATTATTAACCCATGCTGATCTTAGACATAGCCGCCATCATCGCCAGTAAATTGATAGCATGAACCCATTTAGCATATCGGTACATATAAGATTCCTGCACAGATTTCTGTTTGCTTCGAGTTCAAAAAATCTGCAAACTAATTAATTGTCGTTAATTGCATTTTGATTTTGACTTTTTATTACATCAAAAATAAACTTTCCCTTAAAAAATGTAGATAAGTATTTAAATCGAATAAAATGGCACGAATGCTTTATACAGCCCTTTATATAAATGATAAATTGTTTTTCAAACTACATTTGTAAAATAAATTTAATTAGCTAATGCATTTTAGGAAGTTTGCTGTTGCAGATATCAAAATGAACAGTTTGTTCTGGGTTCAGAACTAAAAGATAATCCAATGAGAGTCGTTGCCGTCAAAAAATACTATGTACCGTGTATCATACGTTTTATGTGAAAAATGTTTTGTAAATGATACAAAAGTGAAAGTCCAATAAAGACTGAAAACCAGATTTCTTGAAATTGAAAAGTATTTACTACATAACTAGCCTTCAATATCCCAAATAAGTACTTCTTTCGATATTTCAAAAACATCATGGAAAACAGGAATGTAATCAACAAAGAACCAATTTCATAAAAGTATATTTTCACAAAAATACAGTCTATCTTTGGGTTATATTTTAACTGACATATTTCATATCAAATGTTCAAAAAGGTCATTGATTTTATACCAATTAAGACTGCATATTACTCGATTTACATTAATAAACAGAGGGACGAATGTGACCAGTCGACAGGGGCTAATTACTCCCCGAAGGTATCTGAATCCCCCTCTAGTGTTTCCAAGGGTTCATTAATGTGCCCTGTTCACGATTCGTATTATTCTCACTTTTTCCATCTTCTTTTTTTTTTTTTTATTGTGTAATGGTTTCATTTTCTTATTTAGAAAAACGATGGTTTTGTCCTCGAAAAAACGTGGGCACTTAAATAATTTGATATTTCAATATATCAAAATAAAAAAAAAGCATTTGCGAAAACTTGCACCTTCCCTGCCTGCTTATGTATTTTTAAAGAAAAAACACATCATCGATCAGTCACAGTTCGAAGATATTGCTTAACATAACTTGTAATTAAGATAAATATAAACTGCACTTCTTTTTAAGAAAAACTGGTTTTTCCACGACAGAACAAAATGCAATCATCCTACTTAACATTGTATATATTTTTCAAAAAAAAAAAAAAAAAAAAAAAAAAAAAAAAAAAAAAAAACCATTCTGATTCTAAAGACAAGTACTCTGAAGTTGTGAATAAAAAGATGACAGAGTTCAATGTTGACTTTATTTACATATATCTGCTTTTTGGAGACCAAAGAAAAATTGGGTTTTCCACGACAGAACAAAATGTAATCATTCTTCTTAACATTGTATATTTTTTCTTAAAAACCATTCTGATTCTAAAGACAAGTACTCTGAAGTTGGGAATAAAAAGATGGCAGAGTTCAATGTTGACTTTATTTACATGTATCTGCTTTTTGGAGACCAGGTCATTCAACTGTCCCTTGGAAATTCTACGAGCCAAAATGTTGCTCCTTGCTGAGAGGATATGTTTTTATATTCATAAACTTCTACATGAAAAGAATACTGTTAACCAACTTTTATTCGCGTGCAAGAAATATTCGAGAGTTTGGCGACCTACTTTAACTCGCGAATATTAAACGCAGAGAACCTTTTTTTTTGCTTTGTATTTTTAGGGAATGTTTCATCATTCGCGAAAATTAATTGTCGCGTAAAGATTTCAAACTGACGATACACGAATAGAAGTTGACTTATACCCGTGGCCTAGCGTCAATTCGACCTTTAAATATAAAACGACACTATTCATAAATTAACAATATTTATTTCATGTATATATATCGACTCGATATGTCTTAATTAATTTAAATTCACTTACAGAGTCTACGACAACTGTTTCATATGTAGCACAACTTATTTGATACCGAAAAACATACTGTTCGCACAATCAATTCTAAAATTGAGGCAGGCTTCTTATGAATAAGTTTAAATAAACTTATTTCTTTGACAGTCTCTTCAAAAGTCAGCATTTAGCTAATTTTATGATCGTTACAATGACTGTTTGAAATTACAACATCTTGTTAGGTAGAATTCGACGTTTCAAATGAAATGCTAGGTCAAAGCTTTCAAAATTTTTTTGTCCACGGGATTTTCCGTTTACCCGATCAAAACAGAGTACTGAATACGGCGTATGTACGTAGTCAACAGGGTATGCTTATTCTTCTTACATGTATGAACCTCATCTGACCTCTAGAGTTTCCAGGGGTTCTTGTTTGTGCGCATTCTGTAAAAGTATTACTAGCTCAAAAAGTATTATTTTAAAAAATGAATTATAATTCGAAGTACTGATATAGTAGTTCATGAACAAAAAAGGTCATCAAAAACTACAAATCCCCACTTACTTACGTGCATATTGACCAAGGTGTAATTATTCAATCTTGCAAAAACTTTGCAAGACCTTTTAGAAAATGACAATTTGCCCTCCAACTTATAATAACTTTGTAAAATTTTAGAGATCTGCAACATGCCATTTGTTTTCCAGAATTCGATAAAGCATAAGGGCATATTTTGAAATTAAAAAAAAAAAAAGACAGTGTAAAATTATATATAGCAAAGGCAATGAGCAGGGCTGCTTTCGAAGCGACAAACGTCAAGCATTTTTTGTGAACACTTCCCAGAATTCTTTTGCAAACAAGATTCCATGCGATAATGGCAAATACGCAGTTCCGGAGTTAAGTTTTAGTTCTTGCTTAGAGCCTTAAAGAAATAAAATATAATTGCATCTACTCTTTCGTTTAAAAACTGCATTGTTTAGATTCAGTTATGGAAATGCAACATACGACGTCATGTGAAGTCAAAGTCTAGACTGTCTTTCGTGTGGTTTAAAGTTTGAAGAGGCGGATCAAAATTACTAGTGTAAGTTGTGGTTTTTGATAGTACAATTAAGTGCATTAGCCGTAGTTATCACACCCGCAAAATATAACCAAAAATTGTTTTAAGGGGTATAAGAGATTTTGATCGTATTGGCCTTTTTAATAAGGGTATCTTTAGAGAATAAAAAAATCATATAACTTTCTCTAAATGATTGAAATTGACTAAGTATGGAAAAAACATACTTGAATGTGAAAAATATGGCATGAAGAGAGGACAAGTGACATAATTTTTTGTTCCTGGTGATGCATTATTCCAGCAGCTCCAACCGTCCCAAATCCGTCCGCAAGTATTGTTGACTTCTGGTGGAAGAGCGAGCTGTCTTTGACAACAATTATCTGCAGCTGCGCAACAAGATACCCATTGATGGCATTCATCTGAAGTGAGGGTCGAGCAGACATCTGACTTTGCAGATAGATTTTTGTAGTCCACTGACTGGATTACCCGGATGCGGCCATTGTGGATAAAAACAACTGATGTTGAACTTCCATTTGTATTTACAAAAGGTCGATACTTGATGTAAAAAATGAAGGAAAAACACCAAGCGTAGGCCGAAAGCTGGAACTCTCGGACTGTCGTGTGGATGCCAGTCTGTGAATGGCAATATCTCAGTTTTTGCTGGTTAGAATTGGTCTGATCAACGTTATTAGAAGCCTGAAAAACGAGACTGAAAATTAGTGTAACTCTAAGATCTGTTTTGTTCTCCAAACAATTCCTTATACCTCTATGTTAGAGGGTACAGTAGTGAATGAAAAAAAAAAAAACCATTATCAAAATACCAAAAACACTATTATACTAAATATCATTTAATCCGTTCATTTTTATCATATTTATAGCTTCATTGTTCCTGATTTGTTGAAATAAAGTACTAAGATACAGCAAAGTAAACATACTTACAAGATCAAAACACGTAACAGATTTATATAGATATAAAAACAATAAGAAAACAGCTGATAAATATTCCTCTCTCGAATTGTGTTACTGTGTTAAAATAATAAGAACATGCATGAAAAAAAATTTGATATTGTTAGGGGATCAGTTAGAACTCCGTGTCTCATTTTATATGCAAAAGCTACTTTGTATTTGTTCGACAAAATAATATAAGGTTACATTTACATTAAGGCAAATGAAGTACTGTCGTGCTACCAAACACAGAAAAAAGAACGAATTATGATTTTAAATTCTAAAAAAAAAAAGCCACCTTAGAAAACGTTGCTAAAGTGTTCAAGAATACGAGCTTCTTCAATAAAAATGGAAACCCATATCTTGTGAATGGACTGCAAAAAAATTAAAAATCTTTCTGATTCAAGAAACAAGTACTCTGAAGTTGATATCTAAAAGGTTGCTAGATTTTCTAATTGACACTATCTATGTAGTATTTGGATACCAGATCTTCCAACAAACTGTAGGATTTTTTGGATGAGAACTACAAGTGTTCTTTTATAAGCCGACGTGTTTTTATGCTTCTATTTAGCAGAATTTATTCTCAACATTTCTTCTACATGACAAGAAGAAAACACTTGCTGTGGCCTTCAACTCTACATTTATATGTATCGATTACGTTTTATCAATTTACAATAGTTACTTCCATTATATATCGACTCGAATTTATCCCAGTGAACTCGAAATTAAAGAAGCCACAGAGTTTCCATTCTGATTCAATCTGTTTCGTATGAATGTTTTACTGACTATGGACGATAAGGACAAACAAATAACTGTATGACAATCGAGATGACTTCATTTTTTTCAATCATCAACTCTCCTTAATTGTATTCTCTATCACATGCATATGGTGTTTATATCTCACATTTTATTGGATACTAGAGAGCATGCTCTGAATACGATTCATTTTTAAACCATGGACTACGGACAGATAAGTTGATGTTACAGGGATTTCAACAATCTCATTAAAAGTCAGCATTTCGTGAATTCTATGATCGTTATAATGACCTTGTTTGCAAATTATAACCAATCATGGGTCGTATTATGGCTGAAATGTTTCATTCCAATCGTAAATTCTTTGATTTTATACTAAATTTGACTACGGAATATTCCATCTTATTTATACATAAGGCTCATTGTGGGTGTGGCCGGTCAACAGGGGATGCTATCACCTCCTACGCACCTGATCTGACCTCTGAAATTTCCAGGTGTCCATTTTTTTCGCCCTGTTCATCGATTTGAATTGTATGTAAGTTTTTGAGATCGATCACTGTTTGTCATCTTAACCTTTTCACAGTAAAACTTAGTAGGCGAAAGTGGTAGACTATATAGTTAGGATGTAGAAGGAAGTAAATAATGATTATAAAGAAGGATGGTTAATTCTCATCTAAGAATAATTATCACTGACAATATTGAATATCCATCTGACGTACCTTTAACAGGTAGTGTACCTTAATGTGATATAAACTGATAATAAAGCTAATTTGTTTTGTTCTTTAAATGTGTTGGCAGGGGGAAAATCTAGTTCAAATATACCTCTTAGATATATATCATTTTCAGCTGTATGGATTTTGATATCAATTTTGAGTAACATGATATCATTGATAAGCAATGAAGTTTATCACAGTCTAAAACTATAGGACCAAGTTTTTATTTGACGAGGATATTTAAGTCTTTCTCAAGCACATCATGGAAATAAATGTGAAAGGTAAATTAATCTTAAATTGAACTTGGCTTCGGTCATTACTGAATAAAGCCCTTAAGATTATGAAAAGTTACATCAGATATTACCTAAATGTTTTATCTGTAACTTCTTTGCTTACATCTCTGAGGTAATCGGAGTATTGACTCGTAGGATAAAGTATAATAATTACATAAGAATACCATTTCCACTACAAAGTACTACTTGCCTAGCCTCAGATGTTCTTTAGAGCACAAGTGCTTTGAAAACTGATGCATTTACAATGGATTAGCCGATTACGCAGGTATTTAAGCTACGCTACTAAAAATCATCTCCAATTTGTACACGTGGATCCCTTGAATAGGACTCTCAAAGTTTCATTTCGTATTGTTAATAAGAACCCGTTTCATAACTTAGGAAAAAACATCTTCTTTTGACGGATCACATAGCTATTTTATTGACAATGATTGATCGATGGTTGTCAGAGAATTAGATATGACTTTGGAGAAAAAAAATTGTGGTTGAGACATTTTTTGAAAAATTAAATGAAATTCAAGAAATTTATTTCAACTGCTAAATCAAGACTGGCAAACACTAATTGATAGAAAAGTCATGTTTTCTTATACAACAAGGAATCTTGATATTTAATTATTTCAATATTTTATCAATTTTAGCTATTTAGCTACGTTTGTTATAAAAGAAAATGGTTGGAAAGTTCATCAAAAGGGACAAATAAATTAAATCTGCCTTAACATAAATTACCTCTAATAGTATCAGCCACAAAACAATCGTTAACCAAACAAATAGTTAGGTTACCTCTCTGAATTGTAACTTCATTTCAAACAAATCAGAACGAATTTTTTTCGTACTCTTAGACAAATGTTTTGTTCATGAATTAGCTTTCAGAATACGTACGGTTTTATATAGAGCTTAAAGTATACAGAGTGAATAAAACGAAATACGAATTCAATGGCACTTAATATACTGCACTCCCAGCAAGATAGTTGTATCTTAAATAAGCCTCATGTATGGCTCTTTATAGCTTTAAATTATAAACAGTGAATGAAAAGAAACAGGGATTGCTCAGCACTTATTGCTGCACTCGCAGCAAGACACAAGAAACTTAAGCGCAGGGCGTAATATTACTTAAACAATGAACGTTAAAACATTTTTATAAGTGTTCTTCTTAGCAGAAATACACGCTGTAATTCACTAGATAATTATCCATAGCTTAGTGGTCTTAACAAAGTAGAACGGATTCAGTAAAAAAAAAATTAAAAAAAAAAGAATATACAAACCAAGGTGCTTTGATCTCGAATGAAGGAAAATATTTTCTCTCAACTGATGCATGCACAGAAAATTTATAGTTATCAAAATAATTTCTATGTATTTTGTATTGTTGCATCCTTCTAAGTTTATGCTTCTTGATATGCATAAAATTTGGTACAAAGATTAAAGACAATCATACAGTACAACAGTTATGTTTATAGTTTATCTTCTAAATTTCTTATTCACATGCGTTGCCAGCAGCGATCGCAGTTTTAGAAACCGCTCCACATCATCTGTAATATCCGTCGTGCTAAGGGTGGGGGATGAGGACTACATTATATATGTACGTGTTTATTTGTTAAAACCATATCTCCAAAATTTAATTCTACTTTATTGAAATTTTTCACAGTGATAAAAAATATATTGATGATGTCATTTCATATTTAGCAATTAGCATTAGCAACACATCACGTTAAAAATAGTCATATTGATATTCTTCACTTTATTGAGATTCAATTTAGTTTTACAATTGCTTTAACAACTTTGTTTTTAAGGTATTTTCTGACAAAATTATCAATTAAATCCGTTATAATTAATACGATTTAGTGTCAATGAGTCTTGATAAAGTTATATTAGGTTATCCAAATTTGAAATAAAATCATATTGGGCTATCTAAACCCTTAATCACTGTAGAAAAATTATGGACAATTAATATACAACAAGGGCTAAAATCAGGCGTTGTATTTGCTTCTAAACATTCACATCTGTGATTAAATGTTTATTTGTTTTACCTTACAAAGTTAAAAAAAACGCAGGTCCAGTCATTTTTTTGGTCTCGATTTTTATAAAGTATTTCGTGAAAAAGCTACATGTATCAGTAAATTCCGAGACTATTGATAGTTTGAGGTCAAATTTGTATAAAATACAGATTTATTATCAACCTACATTGATTTAAAGTTTAAGGGGTAATGGGAAGAAAATTTTGTTAGATTTAAGCGGGAGACAGACATTCGACCCTGACACGTTATTTTTTCTTTTGTCGTTAATTATAACAACACCTCCCAGCATGTGCTAGACTATAAAAAGTAGGTTACGTTGTTTTACGTGTAGTAATGGTTATATTCCAGTTGAATGTTCTACACAGATGAACCACTTTTATATCATTAATTTTATCCTAATTTTACCGATCTAGATCAGCGTTATTTGAAGATATTCAAATTTTACACCATAGTCATATTGTAAGATATTATCATTCGTACTCGACATATTATATCAAAATTTGGAGCCCATGATAATACAGATTTTAGGTAGAAACAAGGGTTACTAAAAATTATAATATTTAACTTTATTGCAAATATTTCTATTTAGAATTCTAACGTGGATCTGAAAGGTTCAGATTTTTCTGATAAAGAAATTTGTAAGTAATGACGCTTGAATTTCTTTCCAATGACTATATTTCAATTATGCAGTAAATAAATTCTAAATTCATTATGTTTGAGGGAATTATAACCACAGTAATTATATTTTTTTTTATTTCTTTAAATTTCCACATGCAACAGTTTTGAGAGGAAAAAAACAGACTTTACTTACCTGAATTGATGAAAAAATTATCGAAGTCCAGAGAAAAGCATACATCTCTTTCATCCTCTCTCTGTTACAGCAGAATCAATACTGATAGCAGAACCGGAGTAGTGAACACAATAAAATCCCGGACCGGATAGAGATTGTCAGTGATGAAAGAAAATCAGCAGGAAATTTAACTAAGACGAAGTGATTTCATTTTTAGAGCTAATCTATTTCTATTAAATGAGTAAAAAAAAAAAAAAAAAAAAAAAAAAAATCATTTTTTAGGTCAGTGTTATGCTGGATTAATGCGATTCAAAGACCCTCAGGGAAATTATGTCACTGTGTATGACTATCACTTTTCAGGACTATCACTTAATTTCCGAAATGACTTGGATTTTATTGTGGAACTTTAAAGTATTGTGGATTCGTAAAGGAGCAATGTTGATGAATTTCGCTGATAATCCTTACACACGAATTTACAAACCATAACTTTGTCAACGTATCCGTTCATTGAATCTTCTGTACATACTGAATTTTTCTATGGATATCTCCATTTACCCGATCATGACAAGGGTATCCAGGGGGTTGTGACAGGTCGACAGGGGATGCTTACTTCCCCATTGCACCTGATCTCACCTCTGATTTTTTCAGAGGTCCGAATTTCCTCTGCTCATAACTTGATTTTTTTCACTGGACCTTGGGCATGATTACTACTCCTTATCTAGGAATTATCCACGAATTAACATCCCCATGAACCAGTAAAAATTTGATTGACCGGGAACATTGTCCCCTCAAGAAATAAAATAATTTTAAAGTGTCTTATTGACTAAGGTTCTGTTCTTCGGAATCCGTAACTATTTACTGAGATATTCATGGGATCTATAGATATTACTTAAAACTAAAAAAAAATCTTACTGACAATATTTTTATATACTTAGCAAAATAGTAATCATATAAAATTCGAGAACGAACGACCTCACACTGTGAGAGCTAAGTGCACACCTACAGCGAAATCGATGTGTACGTCTGAAATGGATTGATGGTTGCTCTCCTGAAATAATTGACTTTTGCTAGAAATACAAAAAATGTCACTTGTAAACAATTAGTGAAGTGAAAATCAATTGTTCATATTTTTAAGGGGGGGGGGGGGCAAAAAAGAGACTTTTGTTTTCATCTGAGTTTTATGCTATGCAAATCCTCTGACAAAATTATTTAAAAGACAGTAAAATAGGTCACAGTACACGCATACCCACTGAGATATCACAGGATGAAACTCTGCCATTCAGTGCACTGAAAGATGACTGAAGGTCTAATGAAAGGTGACTACTGAATGTCAAGGAAATGATATTAAGCCACCTTTCCTGGCATTTCAGTCAGCATGCAGGTGAACTGCATTTAAAGCTGCTCACATTCTTGTAAAATTTATATAAGTATAGTACATGTATAGCATCTTAAGCTTCATATTCATATATATATGTATCATCAGGAGGAAGTCCATCAATGTATTTAATCATATACTTTTAAAAATATATATATACATAATGGTAATGTAAATAATTGTAATTAAAAGAAAAAAATTGATAAATAAACCAAAAACATATTTCTGAGTCGACTTTCTCATGCTTAAGTAGATAAGTCCTCACAATGTCCATCGATTTTGCTCATGAACGTTCCAGTGAGGAAATTATGGAAAATATGGTGTTGATAAGGGTGTGGGGTGGATAAGGAGAGGAAATTGTCCCTTGGTTCGATTAAATATTTTTTAAACACGGCTTTCTTGTGGATTGATTCGTTAATCTTTGTAAGTTAATAATGATGATACAAGTTAAAAAATAATCCTTTACTAATAATATTTCGATTTTCAATTAATCCTTACCTTAGGTTCTGAAATCAGCAGTTTAGTAACTTAAAATGCTCACTGAATTTAAAAAGTAATGGGTATATATCCATGTTATTTCTTCAATATTTATCTTTATAGTTAATCATTTAGATTACGAGGACGCCTACTTCTTCAATATTTCATAAACTACCCGACCAAATTTAATTCAATTCTTGCAAACAGTTGGGAAATGCTATTTCCGATATTTTGACATAGAAGTATGAGGCTTTTATGTCATAAACATATGAAAATGACAATAAAAGGGTGTTACATGTAAGATACATGTATGTCACTCGTCAACTTTTGAGAAAAGTTTTTGTCAGACCCTCTAACTTCAAAATTATTTATTACAATTCATTTCTATGATATATTTGAATTAAACAATGCAAATTATACAATATTCAATTTAAAAACTGCCTACAAAATTGTTAAGAAACAAGATTTATTGGGGGCTATTTTTTGTGATGGAAGGATATTTAGAAGGAAATTCCTCAAATCTACACATTTGTTTGATCTTAGAACTTTAGCCCTAAATATTTTTACTCGGAGACGTGTTTTTCGTTATGATACATGTATGCTTGGAATTTTAAGTGCAGGTTTCAATGGATATTTTCAAAAACAGATTTTTCACATTCATTCAACAGACTTTGCCAAAGAAAATAAAGATATATATTAATAAATCAAAATAGGATTATTTTTCTTCGCCTGAAAATAGCATATTTTGACCAATATTTCAAAATTTACATCACTGACCTCAACTTTTTCTTTCATTATTTTAAATAAAACGATCCATTTTAACGGATCAGGACTAAAGTCAGAAAAAAGCATGATATAAGAAAATATTTTATTGTCTTTCTAGATTTTTATTACCCAAATATGATAATTTTGGTGCAAAAAGATCACACAATACTTTATGCGTATTAATTTGCAGGATTTTTTGCAATAAAAATATTATTCAACAATTTACATAAAATAGGATTATATTTATGGCTATTTTTACATTTGGTAATATATGATAAAAATTAATAAAGTGATTAACCTAAAAGTTACAATATTTAAGTGCAAAAAGGTCATATAAATGATACCGCTGCTCAGTAAAATGCACACTGATCCCCAAATTTCTTTGCGATTTTGAGTCATACTACGAGGGTTGTCCAAGAAAAATGCAAACATTTTCAACATCTTTTGTTTCAATCGTGCTATAAAGTTAAAATTGGCATACACCATAATCAACATTGCTTTAATAATGCATAAAAAAATTCAATAAAATATCTCGATAAATAACATTTATCTCTCAGGTAAACGAATCCTACAAAATGGCTGTCGATCGGCGCAACACTGACGACGTCAAAACGTAACTCGTGGCGTTTGTGAATTTATTATGGAATCTTGCGTTTGATAAAATTTGTTTGAAGCATAAATTCGACATTGTATTTAATTTTCTTTTAGTTAGCAAGTTATCCATTTCAGATATTAATTAGCCTTTCCAAAAGACCGCGGAATTAGTAATTTTTTTGTAAATAATCTTTAACAATTTTCCAACCCCCTTCACACGTTTACTTAACTGTTCGTTAAGTTAAACGGCCGTCGCCAAGTTTGACGTCCAGTTTCTGACTTTTCAGTTTGTTGTTCTACCAAACGCTTCTTCCATCGAATAGCCAGTCAAACCATCGTCGAACCTCTTGAACTAGGTATAAATCTGCGTACTAAGATGTATGTTTGTGTCGTTCTATCGTTTACAAATCTTTTGCCGTGTGGACAGTAGTCATATCCCGCTTAACAGTACTGCTTGATAATTTGGTGCTCCGCATTATCACCCGACGTCACCATTTTTGACAATGTCTAAGTAAAGATGTTTTTGCATCTAACGTCATATTTTTGTCACTTGTGATGCTAAATTAATGAATTTTTACACATGAGTACATGTACTTCAGATCATAGAGTTTTTATTTAGGTAATTTTTCGCACATTATATTTCCGTATATCCTGGTAATAAAACTTCACTTACAATACTATTTCTAAAACTCAAAAAGTTGCCGTGCGGCAAACACCGATAATTGACACACTTTAAAAGCTATTTTACATGCATATGACATTAAAGCATTATAATATTTTGTCAAAAGAGCAAAAATTTCATTCCCAACAAGGTGCGAAATATTATTTATTTTGGTCGAATAGTTTTTGAAATATTCAAAAAGTTCGCGTTTTTCTGGGACTACCATCAAATACAAGTAGTTATCTAAAATATACTTCTCAAAAATCCTTGATAAGCTCATATCACGAGTGAAATACCTTAAATATCGGTGGTTGTAATTTTTATGCCCCCGTACATGTAATCAAAGATTTGGGGGTATATAGTTTTTACCCTGTCCGTCCATTTATCTGTCTGTCTGTTTGTCTGTAAAAACTGCAACCTTGCTCATAACTTTTGATTGGTTGAAGCTATGGCTTTTATATTTCACACGTGTATTCCTTGTGACAAAACCTTCCTTTGGGTACCAACATATTTGACCTTTTTACCTTGACCTTGGAGTTTGACCCACTTTTGCAAAAACTGACCCAACTTTAACTTTGGCCATAACTTTAGAACAGCTAGTGCTCGGACATCCATATTTCACATGTACATTTGTCATGACAAGAGCTTTGTACTCTGATAATATTGTTGAGCTTTTGACCTTGACCCTAGAGTTTGGTCCACTTTAAAAAAAAAACTTTATTCTTGGCCATGACTTTTGAACAGGTATCTCTAACGCTTTCGAATTTCACAGGTACATTTCTTGTGACAAGACGGTCCTTTGGATACCAATTATTTTGACCTTTGACTTTGGAGTTTGACTTACTTTTGAAAATCTTTTACCTTTGTCATAACTTTTAAACAGTTGGTGCTAGGGTTTTATATTTTGCATGTGTATTTTTTATGACAAGGTCTTCCCCTGTGACCATTGATTATTAACCCTTTGACCTTGGAGTTTGACCTACATTTATAAAACATTAACCTTGAACAAAACTTTTGGATGGTTGGTGCTTGGGCTTTCATATTTACCAGGTATATCCATTGACACAAGTCCTTTTTTTGGGGAAATGACATTTTTGCTCTCTTGATCTTGGGGGTTGACTTGCATTTGAGAAACTTTAACCTTCTCCATAAGCTGCCATACAGGGACATCAGTTTTTTTCAAACACATCTTGTTAAAATACCATTGCAAGCGATTGATTTCTTTATCTTCAGATTG